AAACTCCCCTGAGGAGCTGACACTTCCCCCACAGGGGCCTTTGTGAGTGACTGGGATAACCCTCCGGGCCCTGACACCTTCCTCCCCCCGCCTGTTTGAGTCACCAGGGTAACCCCTCCGTCAGGGCCTGAAATACCCCTCCCACCAGAGCCCATCTGACTGGTTTGGTTAGCCCCCTCCCGCAGTCCATGTGAATAACTAGGATAACACTTCCCTCAGCCCACGTGAATAATGAGGTAACTACCCGTAGGAAAGTGACACCCTCCTCCTGCTCCTGTGTGTGTGACTGGGGTAATCCCCAGGTGAATAACTAGGGTAACCCCTAGGATCTCTCGGATTTGCTTTGAGTCAAGTCACAATAGATCGACCACCAGACCACCCAATTCTTTCCCGTCAACTCCAGTATTCCATCAGAAGCATAGGCAGTGTGGACAGGAGAGCATCGGCTGTTGACTTACTGCAGTGAAGACAGTAAATAAATTTAAGTATGTGGACTTCAGCTACATTATTTATGTTTGAAGGGTATTGTGTTTCAGAGGGGTAACATTATTTATGTTGATGAAGTTGCATAACTTAGATCAACTATCTGCAGTAGTGTAGAATAGGTAATAGTGCCACAGGTGAATGAGTGTAGTGCAGGAGTGGACACCAGATCCAGTTGTTTCCCGAAATGGTGGCGCTCACTCAAAGTGGACTAATGAGGGGATTAAGTTGAGCGTAGATAACTTGAGGGAACGGTAGTGCAGACCTACCCTGTGGTTAATGCAGACTGTCTCCAGCTGCTTATGAACTACAGCAGTGGTTCTCAAACTGTGGAGCAGGACCCCAAAGTGGGTCACAATCCCATTTTAATGGGACCGCCAGCAGTGTTCCCTCTAATTTTTTTATGTCCATGTGTACAGTGAATTTTGTTATGTGGTGATCTATGACACATGGTGACCATCTTGGTGCCCATCACAAAACTCACTTCATGTATGGATGCTGTATGGCGAGGGTGGGCTGAGGCGTGAAGAGCGTGGGAGGTGACTAAGGACTGGGACAGAGGTTTGGGATGTGGGGGTTGAGGGCTCTGGGCTGGGGTTAGCAGTGCAAGGTTTGAGGTTCAGGAGGAGGCTCAGGCACGGTCGTGGGGGGGCGGTTAGTGCTCCAGATGGGAAGGAGGGATTTGTAGGGTGTGAAAGCTGCCTCAGGGAGAGAGGCTTACCCCCAGCTCTCTCAATGCAGAAGCTCATGGTCAGATGAGAAGCTTCACTTAATGGCCCTGGTATGTGTGGGCTGGTCTGGATGGGGGCTGAGGAAGGGACACCTCTTCCCTGGCTGTGACAAGTCTGGGGCCGCTCTGCACTGAG